TCTGAAATTAAACTAATAGATAATATAACCTACCAAATTCGCATACTTTTAATAAATTAATGTCTTAGCTGCAACATAAAGGAAAAAGAAGAGTAATTTATATTAAAACATTTATTTTAAGATGGATATACTCAAGAATGACTACACTGCAAGAACGGAAATAATACTTTTTGGCGATTTCCTAAAAGCATTTTGAAAAATCATGTAGTCTCTTTGCACATTTTACACTTTTTTGCCACTAAATTTAAATCATTGCAAAGGATTTACTTTCTAGTGAATTTAAATATTGATATTTTAAAATAGAGCTATTAGTTCAATATTTTAAATGTATCCAATGGAATCTAAATACATATTATGATTTGATATGTCGGTCAACATCAGTTTACAAAATACTTGAACAAGCAGAAATTTTGTCACTTCTTTTTCTTCTAGAACATGTATTTCCATTCGGCTCTCCCCTCAGAATTGACTTTAATGTTTTATTTACATATATAATTTTTAAGTCACATCACCTTTCATACTTTCAGGCAACAAAAATATTTATACCAATTAAATTCTAAAATTAAAAAACTTTTTCTGTGACTATAGGGTTTTTGATACTCTGGGTTGAGCCATGTTACAGTCATTAGTAGTATAAAATTGACCAAAACAATATAAAATCTATTACAAATTTTGGAATTTAATTATTTGACCTATAGGATTTGGGGGAAATACAGAAACAAATGAGAGAGACTTTCTTCCCACAGTTTGTGTGTCCTTGCATAAATATTACTTATTGCTGGAACGAGACAGGGTTTGGCATCGGTTCTACTCCTATTTTTCCTTTTACAGATGAAGCACTAAGAAACCTTGTTCCCATAGAAAAGTTAACAAGAATGGAAGAAGCTTTTTTTCCCTTTTTTATCAATATTATTTTGTTCTAAATGACCATGCCTCCCACATCTCTGAACTTCTTCTAGATTTGTATCCCAAAAAATCAGACAATAGGCTCTAAGCTGGCAAACCAACTGGTCTTCCTTCCATTTTCTTGGAAGCCAAGAGTTGGAAACCACCCGTCTTGCAGAAGGATTGGTTACCCAGTCCTTAGGGCCAACATCAATACTGCTATTTTGAATTGCCCCTTTTTTTGGTGTCCCAGAGCTTTGTGGAGTCCAGGGCAACACACTCTAGTCTGATGCAGGTGGGTGAGAGGTGTGCCGGGGGGCAGGTGGGAAGGGGTGGGTGGGAATGGAGGATCAGCAGCTGTGTTCCTAGGTAAGTACATTTCAGAACTGGGGTACACGTGGAAGCTGAAGCTCTGGAAACAGATTGCCTCCAGACTATCCAAGCCTGCACAACCCTCGGAAAATCTTTGCCGACCAGGGTGCATGTCACACGGTTGAAGACTTTAAACCTTAAGACAACAAAAAGCCCTGAACATTTCCAGAATGCTCTAGAGGACAATACTGTCCCCCTGGAAAATCACCACCCTAACTGATCTGCTGCTCTCACTCCCCATCCCGTCTTTCCCATCTTCACTTTCCTTCGGTCACAAATGCAATCCTTGGTGTTTTTCCCAGGCCCGAGCATACTCCTGCCTCAGAGCGAACACTGGCTCCTCCGTCTCCCAGAGACGCTTCCCCCAGATATGGACAAGCCTCCAGCCCTCAGTTAGTTCAGTCTCCGCTCAGTATCCTCATGCCTGCCCTTGATCCACCTTATAAAACTGCATACCCCTACCCACCTCATTCATTCATTCATCCCACAAATATTTGTTGATCTTCTACTGTGTGCCAGGCACTGTTCTAGGCACTGGAGAGACATCAAGGAACAAAGCAGACACATATTTCTATTCTCATGTTGCTTAACGTCTAATGGGAAAGGAATGAAAACATGAAATATAAAACATAAAATTATATCCTGTGTTAGAAAGTGATAAGTGGTATTGGGAAAAAGTTTAAGCTAAGAGGAACTGAGTTTCCCAGAAGTAGTGTGTGGGTGGGTGTGTTGTGGGTGTTTCAGTTTAAATGCGGTGGTCAGGGTAGGCCTCATTGGAAAGGTGACTGCCTTCATCAGCTCAGGCTGCCACAACAAGATCCCATAGACTGTGGTTTAAACAACAGAAATGTATCTTCTCACAGTTCTGAGGCTAGAATCTGGGATCAGGGTGCCAGCAGGGTCAGTTTCTGGTGGGAGCTCTCTTCCTGCCTTGCAGACTGCTGCCTTCTCCCTGTGCCCTCACATGACAGGAGAAGGAGAGCAAGCTCTCTGGTGTCTCTTCTTATAAGGGCACCAATCCCGTCACGAGGGCCCTACCCTCATGACCTCATCTAACCCTAATTACCTACCAAGGCCCTGTTTCCAAATGCCATCATGCTGGGGGTTAGGGCTTTCAACACAGGAATTTGAGTTAGGGGGACAGGACACAATTCAGTCCATGGCAATGACAATTGAATAAATACTTTAAGAAGTGGAGGGGCGAGCCATCTGAAGACTGGGAAGAGTGTTCCAGGCCAAGGGAGCAGTGAATGCTAAGTCCCTGAGCTGTGCCTGTTGGTCTGAGCAGTGAGGAGGCCCGCGTGGCTGGAGCAGAGGGAGCGAAGGGGGAGACAGGAGGGAGGGGGCAGATCAGACAGGGCCTTGTAAGCCACTGTAGGAACTTGAGCCTTTATTCTGGGAGGAATGGCGAACAACTGGAATTCAGAGTCTACTCCTGGAGGAGGGCTGTTCCTGAGTAGGTGGGAGGCAGCAAGATGCTGGGGGATTAGGAGCTGGCTGTAGGTAGGAGCACAGACAGTCCGGGAACTCGAGGGAAGGCTGAGTATAGGCACTCCCGATTCTCCTTACTGTGCACTGTCATCTCCATGTCACTTATCACATCTGTCAAAGTATACATTGCCATGTTCATTGTTCATTGTCTCTTCCCCTCACTGGAACGTGAGCTCCACAAAGTCAGTGACATTGGTATTTAGCTGCTGTTGCCCAAATATCTAGAACAGCGCCTGGCACATAAAAAGCACCAGATACTTTTTTCAAAATTTGCCTGGATGACTGACCGGTTGAGAAAGAGAGAAAATATGGTTTAGAGTTCTAATCACATTCCATTCTCCACATCTTTAAAACCATGTACCAGAACAAAGAGTTGTAACCCTCCCCAGTCCATATCGATACCAGCTGATGCTGTCTGCATTTATCTTGTTTTCAGATTCAGGCATGGTGGCGTGGAATGATGGTACGGAAAGGACTTGGGGTATTTGAAGAACTGGTAAAAATGCAAAAGAAAGGAAAGAATTCTCCGAAAGATAAGAAAGGAAAGAAGGACGTAAAAGGAAAACCTGTAAAGGGAAATAAAAAGTAATTCTATAGATTACTGAATTGAGGTAATGAACTCTGATGGATTAAGAAGGCAAAATATCTAAGAATTGGATGCCTACCACACTCAAATTATTCACAGAATTATGGTTATGTATAAAAATAAACATTCTTACTTTTACTGAAATATTTATGGATAAAATGATATGATGCCTGGGATTTGCTTCAGAATCATCAAGGAGAGGTAGGCGCGGGGCATCCAAATGAAACGAGATCGGCCATAAGCTGATAATAGAAGCATATAATAGGTACAGGGAGGTTCATTATACTATCTTGTCTACTTTAAAAACTTTTAATTTTGAAATAATTGTAGATTCACAGGAAGTTCCAAAGAAATGTACAGGGAGGTCCATGCACCCTTCCCCCTCCCTCAGTGTTGACATCTTGCAGAACTATAGTACAACAACAAAACCAGAAAATATACATCAGTACCCTCCACAGATATACAGGCACTCATCTGTGTGTGTATCTCAATGCAATTTTGTTACATGTAGCTTCCTGTAGCCACCAGCACAACAAAAAACAGAATCGTCCCACCACTGCGTCTCCCTTGTGGTACTGCTTTCGGTCACACCTACCACTTACCCCTCTCCTAATGCCTAACCCGTTCTCCATCTCTGTAATTTTATTATTTCAAGAATGTCACCCACAACTAGAAGGACCTGCAACTAAGATATACAACTATGTACGGGGGGGTTTGGGGAGATAAAGCAAAAAAAAAAAAAAAAGATTGGCAACAGTTGTTAGCCCAGGTGCCAATATTTAAAAAAAAAAAAAAAAAGAATGTCATATAAATGGAATCACATAGTATGTAACATTTGGGATTGGCTTTTTTCACTCAGCATAATTCACTTGAAGTGCATCCAAGTTGTTGCATTATCAATAGTTTCTTCCTTTCTATTGCTGGGTAGTATTACCTGGTACCATAGTTTGTTTGACCATTCACCCCCTGAAGAACATTGGTCTGTTTCCAGTTTCTGGCTACTACAAATAAAGCTTCTTTGAACACTTGTTCATAGGTTTTTGCATGAGCAGAGGTCTTCAGGGAATTCACGGGAATGGCCAGAAAAATGAAGAGTACCACACTACCTAAAACATCCTCATTTACGCCGCTCAACACCTCCTCATCCTGATAACTTTTTCTTTTGGAGTAGTATTGCTTTCAAATCCTACATCTTTCAAGCAATGATTGCAATACTAATTATGAATATAGTAAGAAGAAAGTAAAACATAACTTGATTAGAGTATATTAGAGTAGAAATGTGTGAGCAGACACCTGTGCTGTGCAACGAGTTTCACACTCTAGGAAAAGAAAACCAAAAATCTCAAAAATCACTTAGAGCAACAAAAAATTTTAATTAATGAATTAAATAAGTTTTATTTAGCAAATTCCATGCCAAAGAAATGCACAGAGGTAATATGTTAATTTGCTTATTTTAACAATAAAAGATTTTATTTTAACACGATGTGTGGGGTTTTTTTGTTTTGCTTTTTTTTTGAGGAAGATTAGCCCAGAGCTAACTACTGTCAATCCTCCTCTTTTTGTTGAGGAGTCTGGCCCTGAGCTAACATCCATGTCCATCCTCCTCTGCTTTATACGTGGGACGCCTGCGACAGCATGCTTTTTGCCAAGCAGTGCCATGTCCGCACCCGGGATCCGAACCGGCGAATCCCAGGCCACTGAGAAGCAGAATGTACGAACTTAACCACTGCGCCATCGGGCCGGCCCAACAAGATGTGTTTTTGATACTGGGTTTTGAATTTTTGACCATTTTTTACTAAGATTTATGTCAGTGATCATTATTAGTTTTTTGGTTCATATCTGGAATAAAAGGTGCCAAAACATAAAATAATAAACCACAGAAGGGTATACTTTCTGATAAAAAATGTAAATAGACTACATTGAGGTACATAAAAGAATAGTAAAGATAACATGAAACTAAAGATTACAAATTTACAAAGCTAGTGCCTTTCATGTTAGAATTTCACACACACACACACCCTTATATTTAGGACATTTAACATACAGGAAAAGACGAGGCAGAAAATTCCAGGGCAAGAAAAAAGGAGATGTATTACCAGAATCTAAACATTTTTGGTAGGCCTTCTAAACAGTAAGTGAACTAATTATATATGGAAAACAATTGAAAATCCATCAAAAAAAGTCATCCTTGTTTCATAAGATAAAGACATGTTCCTATTATTATATACATGCTTTTACAAAGCTCTTGTAACATAAATCCCATTAAATGGCCCAGAAACTGATAGTCCTTTAGTTACACTGGGATTCATTTGTGTTCTTTTCCTCCTCTGGAGAATGGTCGGTGGCTGAGTTAAGGGAAATCAGCCTGCTGAAACCCACCATGGTCAAAGTGGATGCTGCTTCTGGAATCTTGGTCAAAGCGTTCGAGTTCTTCCTCCTGTGAAGCCGGCAGGAGCCATCTTTTCATTCCTATCTCGGTGATCTCGGGAAGTTTGGTCACAGCACATAACAAGTGCCTAAACCATTGTCCACAGTTTCGGAAAGTTGATGGCCGAAGACTAATATCCAACTCAGTCAACTCTTTGAGGAGCCACACGTTCTGGCAGAAAATGGTCCATCCTGCGTCACAGATGCTGTCATTGTAGCTCAGGTCGAGCTTCCTTAGCTTGGCCAGATGACCTGTCTGTATTACCGATGCTGAAAAACAAAATCACTCTAAATGCCAAAATACAGGAATACTTTCTACCATGCTTGTTTCCCACTTCCAATAACACAACACAGTAGCTCCAGGATTAGTAACGATGAGACTGTATTGATTAATGATTTGTACTAGCTAACAGCTTTATTCAAGGCGTCTGAAATTACATTAGTAACAAACTTCCTCTCTGTGCATCCCAAGTACAACTTGAAATGGATTTTTCTCCCTTTGCAATTTGCAACCCAAAGAATTTCTTTTTTGTCTGGCTCCTGCTCTCTGCTCCACTGGGGTCCCAGCTCTTCCCACAGACTTTCTCTAATTAAATGTGAGGAGTGATGGCATGTTGGCTTTAACTGAGGACCATTTGTAAATAGTCTTCTTGCTGTTTAATACTGTTTAACTGTTCACTATTCACTCAGTCATTCTTCATTCAACAATTATTTAATTGAACACTTTCCATGTACAAAATATACCTGGCTAATTTCTAATTCACCTTAAAGACCTCTAATACACTGGACAATTTTCCCTTTGAATAGCACATGTCACAGTACTGCCTAAGATGGCACTTAATAAATAATAGTTAATGCTGAAGCTAAGAAAAGATAATTACTTCCGTAAGGAGAAGTAGGAGAGACAGCCAAGTCAAAGAGCAGGTGCTTCCTGTGTCAGCCACAAGCAGGACTGGATTACAGAGATAGATGAGGAGCGTAGAAGCTTGGAGTTGGCAGGGACCTTGGAGGTCTCCTCATCCAACTTCCAGATCGATGAGCAGAGAGGGATCCCTTTCACAGCTTCTCTATTGGTACCCATCCTTATTCTGCCTGAAGCATCCTTTCAGGTTGCCCCCAAGAGTGAAGCAGCTCTTGGCAGGAGGAAGCCCTTCCTCTGGGTGCCAATCTGCCTTCAGTGCCTCTCCCTCATTGCCCCCCGAGCCTGCTAGAAACCTCAGATCCTTCCTTATGCCAGTCCTGCAGTGTTGGACAACAGTCAGGTCCCCTCAAATTCTCCTCTGTAGGACAAAATGTGCCCTGGTCTTTCAATCATTCCCTCCACTCGTGGCTTCTAGACCAAGCAGGATGATGCTCCATCCCCGTCACTTCACTGGCGGCAGTTTGACTCCACCGTTTGTTAGAGAGCTTCGCAGTCCATACACTCAACAGCTGCACTCGTCCCTGGGTGTCCTCTTCCTTCCTGTCTTTCCTCTCACAACATTATTCACCATGGTCTCAAGACCCAACTAAGTGCTAAGACAATGTGCATGCTTTTTCTCTTTAGAACATTTTCTATTATGGAAATTTCCAAACACACAAAAAGTAGACAGACTAGGAGAGTGAACCTCCATGTCCTGTTCACTCAGCTTCAAGGTTTGTCTTCATGAACCAATCCTGGCTCATCTGGTTCCCTCCCCTCTACTTTTTCTTGCTTTTTAGTATATTAAAGCAAATCCCAGACATCCTTTTACTTTTCCTATACTGTTTGAATTTTCCAATCATGTGAGTACTTTATAATATTTTACTATTTTCTATTCATTGTATATTTTTAAATCTGGGTAATAGAGGGGCTGGCGCTGTGGCGTACCAGTTAAATTCATGTGGCCCACTTCCGCAGCCCAGGATTCACTTGTTTGGATCCTGGACACAGACCTGCACGCTGCTCATCAAGACATGCTGTGGCAGGAGTCCCACATATAAAATAGAGGAAGATGGGCACAGATGTTAGCTCAAGGACAATCTTCCTCACGAAAAAAAAACCTGGGTAATAGCGCACAGGCCATGGAAATACTTTTTTTGTAGCTTAGTATATGAAAAAAAAATAATGCTGTTATTTATAAAAGAATAAAACATAAGTACTAGTGATTAACAAATTCTTAAAGACTGTTTCTTTTTCTTTGAGGAAAATTAGCCCTGAGCTAACATCTGCTGCCAATCCTCCTCTTTTTGCTGAGCAAGATGAGCCTTGAGCTAACATCCATGCCCATCTTCCTCTACTTTATTTGTGGGATGCCTACCACAGCATGGCTTGCTGAGTGGTGCCATGTCCGCACCTGAGATCTGAACCAGCGGACCCCGGGCTGCCGAAGCAAAACATGTGGACTTAACCACTGCGCCACCAGGCCGGCCCCTTAAAGACTGTTTCTGTTATAAACAATCAAAGCAATATAAAAGTGGCAACAGTTACAATCACACATAGTAATACCTGTTATTGACTAAAAATTGAAAGAAGGAAAAAATATCCTTGACAAAATGTAAAAGTATAGATTTGACCTAAGGAAAAAACCAAGTAGTAAAAATTAAGAAAAAATATATAAGGGCTCAAGCCATGATTAATACAATTTGATACAGATTAAAAAAAGTTGAAGAAGTAAATTTTAATTACAGACTTTAAATGAAATAACTTAGATATGTTTAATGGTGTCCAATTCAGGAAAAAAAAATAAAACCAAAAGCTGATTCTTTGAGAAGATTGATAACATTGAGAAACCTCTTGGGGTAGTTTGGAATTCTAAGGTGGCCCCCATATTTCCACCCTAATCCCCAGGACTATGAATACAATGAATTTTACTCCCATGATTAGGTTATATTATATGACACAGTTGACTTTAAGAAACACAGAAAATCCAAGTGGGGTTAAACTTAATCACATGAGCCCTTTGAAAGCAGAGAATTTTCTCTAGCTGGTGGCAGAGGAGGAAGTAGGTCAAAGACGAAGAAGACAGAAAGATTTGAAGCAACAGAAGAACTGACCCCCTTGTTGCTCCATGAAAATGAGGGGGCCATGTATCGAGGAACGTGGGCAGCCTCTAGTAGCTGAGAGAAGCCCCAAACTGAGCTAGCAAGAAAACAGGAACCTCAGTCCTATAGCTGCAAGCAACTGAATTCTGCCAACTCCGAGTGAGCCTGACAGTGGATTTATCCCAGGGGCCTCCAGATGAGAACGGATCCCTGTATCTCAGTTACCGTGATGATCAGTTTCCTGCTTAATAAAAGCAATTAAGTTAAAGAGTCAATATAAAGAAAAAATTAAGAAAAGGTGCAGGTACCACGTGGACAGGGTAAAATTCATGAAGGTAGACGGCACATGACTGAAATCTAATTACACTGGGCTGGCTGGAGAACGCTGAAGGCTCACGTAGCCTCTTCCACCTCTCTCCCCCTGGGCTTGCAGGGCAGGCACACTGGGCCCCGAGTGCCTGGACCGCACGGACCCAGGAGATACGAACCCAAGAGAGCCACGTCCTCTGTCAACAGGGAACAGCTGCTCAGCCTTAGCACTTGAAGGGACGTGGAGAGCTTTAGTGTTTCCAGAAGCAGACTCAGGTTGCCACCAACACACTTATTCCAAGAAAGGTCGAATATCTCCAGAGCAGGGAGGTGAATGGAGGCTTCAGCTAAAATTAAGAGAGATAAGAATAGCAATAATTTAGGTTTCTAAAGGTCATGAGCCTTCAGTTTGAGGAACCTAAGCTGGGGCAACATGTTAATATAACTGAGGTTAAGAACATTGTAGAGACCGTTTTCTCGTGCATTAAATTCATGGCCTCAATTTATGTTGTCTATTTTTATTTGGGAGAAATCTTGGAAACTTCGGTAAAGTAAAAGATGATTAAGCGGAATTCGCTATTGATGGGGATTTTTTTCCTTCAGCTCACATTTAAGAAGGAGAAAGAGGCAAGGAGTCTGGACAGCTAGTCAAGATTTCCTGAGGGTGTCCTGGTCTATATAGCCACTGTATAGTCACTGCTGAAATTCAGAGATGGGGCCAAACCTCCCTAGGACTGTGAAACCCCAAAATGCATTTGTGTTTACTCAACTGCAGTTACAGAGACAAGGAGGGGAAGTAATGTATTTGGGAAAGATTTTTAAAGGAAATTTAAAATTTTTCTGCTTAATTCTCAGTTTCCTCTAACATTAAAATTAACCAGAATGATTTTATTCACAAGCTATGGTAGTTAACTACCCTTTAAACTATTCTACCTTCTTTCTAAAAAATAATATATGTTCAAGGGACAAATATATATTCTTTTATACTATCTAATAAGTAAACCCCTCCCACTCATATGATACAGAAAGCTATTAATAAGAAATGGAAATTTTTCTTCTAAAAGCGATGTAGAGAAATATATATTTACTTGATTTACTTCTTAATTCAAATTAAATGATAGATTTATGTCAGATGATGGAATTTAACATATCTCCTTGATTATGATTCATTGATTGAGCAGCTGTAATTGGAAAGAGCCGTGTCTTCTGATGGCAGAAGACACAAAATTAAGAACAAAATTTTCTTTAAAAAGTTCAACCTTTTCCAACTAGGAAGCATATTTATAAAACATCATGGTGTCCCCAAATTTATTTTTTGTGGAACTTTCCTAACTGAACATTAGTCTGAACAATAGAATATGTTGCGTGTGTGTTTACCTAACCATTTGGGGGATTACAGACCTCTTTGAGAAGTTTGCCTGCCTGTCTGTCTACCTACTACCTATTTACTTACTTAAATGTAGAAATACCTAAAATGTCCCCTGGACATGCAGTGAAGAATAAACACAATCCTTGCCCTCAAGGAGGTTAGAATCTGGGAGAAAAATGGACATTAAAAAGATCACACAAATAAAGACATAATTATAAATTCCCATAAAAGCTGTAAAAAAGATACAGAGCTACTGATTTAGATAGAGATGGGATGTCTTAACAGGGGCCATTTACATGGGGGCCTGAAGTCGGAGCTCTCTGGAAAGAATGGGGTGGGGAATTCCAGAGACCAGGAGGCCTGCAGCCAGGAGAGAGCCCGGTGACAGGAAGGAACCGAGAGAGGCCAGCTGAGGCTGGATTCAGGGAGCAAAGGGGGAGTGGCCAGGAGGTAGCGGGGCCACATCATCTGGCCACATGAAGGAATCTGGATTTACTGGAGGTGTTACAGGCAGCCATTGACTTTTTTTAAACTGGGTAGTGATAAGATCCAATTTACTTTTTAAATGACATTTATAGACTCTCTCCCCATAATAATATTAACAACTAACATTTATTGGGCATTTACTACGTGCCAGACACCTTTCCAAGAACTTTATCTGTATTAACCCAGGTAGTTCTTACAATCCTATGAGCTATGATACTATTATTCCATTTTATGTCTTACGGACGAGGAAACCGCAGCACAGAGACGTTAAGAACCTCAGGTCACGAGAGCCGGAGCCAGGATTTAATTCAGGCAGTCTGATCGCAGATGCGTTAGAGCCAGAAAATGTACCATACACTCTGCCCACAAAAACACTGCAATCAATTTTAGGGAGGTCACAGCCCTCTCCCCCAGCTATAACTATAGACGACTCTCTTAAAGGGGGGCTGTGGCCTCCAGATTAAGAACTCCAGGTCTGAAAGGCACACATTCTGCTACTTTTCTCCATCCAGACACATGGACCATAAGATGAGCAATGCTGGGGGAAGTTGGGAGCAGTACACTGAAAGGACCAAGTCCATACGGGTTGAACAAAATACTTGGGCCGAAAAGGAGGGCAAGCATACCCTAAATAGAAAGTATTGGGGTATTTGGGGTACCCCAATACTTGGAATTTTGGGTAAATGGTATGCATTTATTTTTAGTAATAGATATTAGTAAATAGCTTTTTTTTTAACAGAATACATTTATTTCATTAATAACAGGCCTTGTCCATAATAGAGTTCTTTTTTTTTTTTTTTTTTTTTGAGGAAGATTAGCCCTGAGCCAACATCTGTGGCCAATCCTCCTCTTTTTGCTGAGGAAGACTGACCCTGAGCTAACATCCAGGCCCATCTTCCTCCACTTTATATGTGGGACGCCTGCCACAGCATGGCTTGCCGTGCGGTGTCATGTCCGTACCCGGGATCCGAACCATCGAACCCTAGGCCGCAGAACAGAACATGCCCACTTAACCGCTGCGCTAGCAGGCCGGCCCCCTGGAGTTCATTTTTAAGGAAGTGTTAACTGACATAACACTGAGGAGGTCAGAGAGAAGGACTCAGTTTCATCGTCATCCAGGAAGCACCAGAATCCAACCACTCTGATCTGGAGCACGTGTGCAAAACAGAGTTAGGCCAGCAAGCCTGAGGCTGCGATCCCTATGGGGGTCTCCTGTGAGCTTGGGCCCCGCTGACATCCGGGGAACTTGGAATTCGGAAGTGTTCCCACCCACCCTCACCGCAGTCCCCTACCCCCAACTGATAAGGGTGGCTCATGGTGGCTAAAGCATTTGTGTACAAATAGTATGATTTGTGCTGCACACCAGCTTTCCTTTGAGCCTGGAATTTTGGTACGTACTAGGTAGAGGGTGCCTCATGACTAACCCCAGTAAACACCCTGGACTGGAAGGTTCACGTGGGCCTCCCCCGTAGACATCATTTCACAGGTGTCATCACAACTCGCTGGAGGAAGGAAGCGCGTCCTGTGTGACTCCACTGGGAGAGGACTCTTGGAAGCTGTGCCTGGTTCCCTCTGGCCTCTGCCCCACGCGCCTTTCCCTTTGCTGATTTTGCTTTGTACCCTTCCATTGTAATAAATCTAACAGTGAGCACAAGTGTATGCTGAGAGCCGTGAGTCCTTCCAGCGAATCACTGAACCTGGAGGTGGTGGTGGGGACCCCTGCAGGCCCCGTGTGTCCGAAGGGCTGGTTGCTTGGGTGTATGTTTGGGAAAATGCTGCAAAGTCTCTTTGCCTCAAAACATCCCCCTCTCTTTCCTGGTGATGCTCTTGTCCAAGAAATGTCAGATTTAGTAAACCCTTGATGTGGGCTGGGCTGAATCCATGACTTTCAGGCGCACCCAGATTCCTGAGAGAGGACAAGAAACCCTGTTGGGAAGCGGATGCAAGGCAGTGGGCAAGGCTCATGCACTCAGATTGCCTCCCTTTCCCCATCAGACTCACAGCAATCCCCGTTTATATTGGCGCCTCAGCGAATTTACAAGTTACTATGACCATGGACCTCCAGAGTTGGCTATATACACTTTAAATTTTAAGTATAAAATTTGCAAATGCCAGAGTCATCCATGTGGCCTTCAGGAGGTCACCTTTAAGAGCATATTTCCTGAAAAGAAGACAAATCAGTACTTCCCAAAGTTGCCTGTGGCTGAGCCTCGGGCTGAAATTCCTCTGTGGGGCAGAGCGGCCTCCGCGGCAGCTGCTCTTGCCCCAGGCCCGCGGGACCTGGGGACCTCTCTTACCCAGGGCGCTGAAGGTCTCACTTTGCAAAGCGCAGTTGTTGACTAGCAACGACTTCAATGTCGGTAAAAATCGGAGCCTGCTGAGGAGGTGTTCAGAAGAGCTGCCCATCTTTTTGTTGGCGGATAAATCCAGTTCTTGAAGACTCGAGAGTAAGGGGATGACCTGGGCTGTGAAAACACCACCCGCGACAGGTTTTAGGCGCCATCTCGCCAAGGGTCTTCTGGGCGGTAAGTTCCCACAATCTTGATTGACAGGCACACCCCTCCCCAGTCTGAACCCCGCCCACCTCCCACACCACACACAGCAGTCACTCTGCCCGGTATGCAGCCTGGGCTCTCCTACTTCAAGCCTCTTCGGGCTGGAAGTTCAGAGCAAAGACGCTGGAGACAGAGAGGACTGGCTTCTAATCCTGGCTCTGCCACCAAAGAACTGTGTGATTTTGGACAAGTTACTTAACTTTTCTGAACCGCAGTTTTTAATAACAATACTACTTCAGAGTCATAGGGAAGATAAAACCACTTGGTATATGGAAAGGGCTGGGTACATGTGTGGGACACTAACTGCTGAGTATCTGTTCGCTCTTATCATTCGTTTCTCAGAAGATGATTGCTAAGTACCAGGAAGGCAGTGAACTGAGCAATCAGGACAGTGCTGGTGACAGCACTAGAAGGGGTGTGGAGGGCCCCCGCTGTGCCAGGTGTGACTCTCCTTCGCTCTCTCCACTACCTTTCCTGCCTCCAGGGCTTTGCCCCAGTTCTTCCCAAGGTGGGAAATGCAGTATCCTGGGGCCTTTGGGGGGTTGGCTCACCCCCTCAGAGCCCCCCAGGGCCATTGAAGCCACAGGTACCCCATCGTCCCTATCACGTCACCCAATTTTATTTTTCTCACAGCACGGCATTTTGTGATCTTTTTGTTTGTGTGTGTGTCAGTTTTCTGTCCTCCCTCACTGAAGGTGAGCTGTGTGTGTCGGCCTGCTTCGTCCCCGGTGTGTGCATCGAAACCTGGGACATCGGAGGCACAAGCATTTACATAAGGAAGGAAGGAGGACACAGAAGGAAGGGAAGGCAGGCAGGCACTGTGATCTCAACAGAGGGAAGGATTTCTCCCTCTTCTAACCCCCACAGCACTTCATATTTCACCGTGTCCTTGGTTGAGTCCTACCCTGACCAGACGGAAGCTCCTCGACTGTGAATTCCTCTCAGTCCACAGCAGAGTGCCTCATACAATTAGAAGATCAATCAAAAGTTGTTGGCTAAATGATCTATAATTCCATTTCTTTGGAGATATATCTAGAATGATCAGGTGAAAGAATGTTAAATTATTTAACATCAGAGGTATAAACAGGATGCATTTTCATTGCCATCTTTAAAAAATTAAACAGAAGGAGAAAAATGCAATTTTCTACAGTTATTAAAGAATTGCTGGCGTTCCAGGGCTGTTCACCCATGTTGGTGGCTGCGAATCTAGATAAGAGAGGCTCATCCCTCTGGCGTACTAGCGGTAACAATTGAGGTCTTCCAACACTTTAATCTTCCTCTGAGAAATGAGATGTGGTATTTGCGTTGTTCAGTTGTACCAAGGGAAATTCATTATTCGGATGTGGTGGACTGATAACTCAGGAGTGCCTCCTCAGGTCTGACCCTCATAAGTAAAGGGGATGGTTATACCCCATAACGCTCCACCTGGAGCCCAAAAAGGGATTTTATTACTTTAAAATCTTCACGAAAGTCTTGAACTCTTCTCATTTTCCCAAATTGAGGGATAAGAGTCTAGGAAATAACTCACCAGGTCTAAAAGATAGATATTAGACCTAAAAATCTATTTTAGTGTTTTCCTCCCCAAATTGTACTAAAAAATTCTTTTCATTCTTGTTCTTCATTGAGTCATTCATTCAATCGATCCGAAATTCAACAAGCATTTACTGGGTGCCAATTATGTGCCAGACCTTGTGCTTGAGCAATGGAGAGATGCTGGAGAAGACACACCCCTACCCGAGGGGAGCTCATTCTCTGGAGATTGCAAGGGCAAAGGCCCCAGGGACAGAGCATGGCTGGTGTACATGAGGATCAGCACAGACAGTGTGGCTGGAGCAGAGTCAATGAGGGGAAGGAGTAGAGAGAATGAAGTCAGAGTGACAGAGGAAGAGGGAGTCCATTTGGACTCTCACAAAAATCTAGGCATGAGATGACAGTGGCCTAGACCAGGGTAGTAGAGTCTAGATGGTGAGCCACAGTCAGATTCTGGATGTATTTTGAAGGTTTACTGTGGCCGCAAATGGAACAAAACCCTCAATCTCAAGGCTAGGCTTGCTGTTTGTTACGGGAAACCGCATTTGTCCATTACACGTTGTAATTACAGGGCTGTGTCTGCGGCAGGAGAGTAAGTGTAGTTACCTGAAGTTGTAATGTACACCCATTACGCACCACCCCACTGACTTTTTCTGTAACTTCATTTGTACTTAAGTGACTTGACTTCTCTTGTTAGTCTGAAAGCCTCAACACCCTTCGTTTTAGCTTTCTCTCTACATCCCTGTTTGTAATAAACTTTGTGAGACTAACAGATTCATTTCCAAACAGCAACATAAATGCAAAATTTTCTCCTTCAAGTGCCACATCTCTCATTTGCAGACGTGTATAGGAGGAATGTAGATTCGCTAACATTGCCTGGGCACTTAATACATGACAAACGCTACATTGGGGCATTCACACAACTTTTGTGGTTTGATCCTCCCATAACCATAACTTCATAAACAGTAAGTTTAAGGGTACGTCTCAAGTTTTCCAAGTTTCCAAACATAAGCCAAGGCTCCAAAAGTCCTCCCTTGGCCCTGCAGCTCGTGCTTACTCAGCGACACCACGTCATCCTCCGTTAGCGAGCACTGGTGAAGATCCAGGGCTTCCAAACGCTCCAACGTGGCCAACTGAGCTGCCGAGTCCTCAAAGCCTCCCCCCAGCTCCTTGTTGCAGGAGAGGTCTAATTTTCTCAGCTCACCCAAGTGTCCAAAAGCAGCATCTACAAAGAAAGTCAAAATCCCATTCTGCCAATTACAAGATGGTAGGCGGGAGGTGAGCAGGGGAGGCGGCAGTGTGCAGAAGGAAGACTGAGAAAACACATGCGGTTGACAAAAGCCAAGACAGAGGAATAACTCTAGACTTCCTACCATCTAGCCCTCTTTGGGCCTGACCACGGCCTCAAATGCGTGTTCCCTGTGATCTGCACTGATGGGCAACGGTTTTGAATGGAATCCTGCAAGTCTGGTTCTCCTCCAGCTACTCTTGAGCACTGGCATTTATTTTCACAGAATTCTAGACTTACTCAAACTGCCAGTGAGAAGAACTTTCCAGGCTCTGTAAGTCGAAGGGAAAAACACAATTTCACTTCATATACTCCCTTAATAGGGTTACTTTATCTAGAGGAGCAAGTTTTAACTACAGATGCCTCTGAAGCCATTCTTTTTATCAGTACCAATTCCTTCCTAGCACTGAGCAGAAAATAATGCTGATGTTTTCAAAAGCAAGAGAAAAATAGAGAGCTTTAGGAGCACAGAAACTTTTATTTGGCCCAGAGTCTATCTCAAACCTAAAATATCCTGGCCTTTTCAGAGTCAGCTGTTTTAAAAGGTTATTATTGTAATCATGAAAGTATATGCTCACTGTAAAAGATGTAGAAAATAAATAAAACGTGAAGATTTTAATTACCTATAATCTTATTCTCCAATACAACCACTGTTTATATTTTATTTCCTAACAGCTTAAAACTAAAATTAAATATCTGTATACATATATATGCTTACACACATATAGCTAACTCACCCAACAGCTTGACGCTCTTTTGTGATAATCCACATGAATGTAACTTGAGTACTTTCAGATTTGAGGTGCTCTTTAATCCCTGAGCAATACTGTTTACACTGCCGCCGATGTTTCCGTTAATGGAAAGATCAAGGACTTCAAGATTTTGCAGCACAGGCAGCAACCGACCTGGAAGGAAGGGAATCCAAGCAAGGAGAGCAACTCAGTAAGAATGCAAGGTGTGAAAGTCAAGGCAGGCAGCAGGGGGGTGCAGCTTCCAGTGACCCAAGGAGGTAGTGAGCCGCTCTTAGAATCCAGGGTAAGAGACAACAGCTGCTTAGACTCCTCAGCTATCCAATCATGGGCAGTTCACTTTTTTCTTTTCTGGGAAGGACTCTTCCAAATTCCACTTACCTACAAACGCCCCATCTTCCGACGTGAGGGCACAATCCACAAGCTCAAGCGTTTGTATCTTGCTCCCTTCTTGGAAATTCTGAAGGAGGAGAGGCAAGTTTCCTCCCACTTTACCATTCCAGGACAAATTCAGCTCTTCAAGTTGAGGTATCACTTTAATTGCGTCTCCTGTTGTAAAAGGGCCCAAAGATCAGGTTGATTGCTAGTTCACAAAGCAGGGAATTGGTTTCAAAATCAGTCCCACCATCAATTATGGAATATTGAAGCTGGGGCTGGTTAGATGCCAAGGAACAGACGGAGAAAAGGGTCCAGTTCCGGCCCACCCCCCACAGGGCGAGCTTCCCTATTTACAGACACGCCTATGAGCAAAAATTACTGTTAAAAAAATCCACCTGTCAGCAGGGTGGTTTTCCTGAGTTGTTTTTGTGGTAGAAAATTTTTGGACTGGTCCATCTACTTCCTGGCATCCACCTGTCTGGGATCAGCACTGCTGGGAAGCTCGGCCAGAGTTAGCAGTAAGGCCAGGCAGGGCCCTGGCCACCACAGGGGTAAAGCTCACATTGACACCAAGAATATCACAGACAACTGAACAACCATTGCTGAGGGGAACTAATAATAAGGCATCAGGCCCCAGCAGCTCCTAACAGACACACAGCCTTTGTGGGTAGACAAGGGTGCAGGGAGAGAGGCGAAATGACATTTCTGAGTCCATTTCACAAAGGAAAGCAGCCAAGGGCTACGGAGTGGAGACTGGGAGAGGAGAGGGGAAGTGACAGAGAGGTCAGCCTTAGGAATGATTTCACTGCCTTGAGCAGAAGAGGGTGGAGGGCCACACACGTGGAGGATGCACTTCTCGATGTGCAGTCACTATTAACACCAAACAATTAAGAGTGCTGGAAAGGGGGCTGGCCCCGTGGCCGAGTGGTTAAGTTCGTGCGCTCTGCTGCACGCGGCCCAGTGTTTCGTTGGTTCGAATCCTGGGCGTGGACATGGCACTGCTCATCAAACCACGCTGAGGCAGCGTCCCACATGCCACAACTAGAAGGACCCACAACGAAGAATATACAACTATGTACTGGGGGGCTTTGGGGAGAAAAAGGAAAAATAAAATCTTTAAAAAAAAAAAAAAAGCAGATTTTATAAAAAAAAAAAAAAAAAAGAGTGCTGGAAAGTCCCCTGTGTCCAGAAGCCTCTCTTCCACTGTCTACTACTGGGCTTAGACTTCTCCCATTGGTTATTCGTTGTACAGATTAAGGTTTTGAGAGTCCAGGAGCCCCATGTGAAAATGCATGTTTTCCCGGCACAGGTGTTATTTCGTGTGCCATCCCCAGTCAGTTGCAGGTGGCTTTCTATAGCCCTGAAGTGTCCCCCAGGATCGGGGTGAAAGAGTGCATGATTGCTTAGCTATGACTGCAGGGCACACGGTCCTGGAGTGCCAGGCATTTGCCCACCCGCACTAAGCAACTGTAACAGGTGTAATAATGTTGAAACGCCTCCTGATTTATGTTCTCTTATCAGAAAACCATTTATCCTCCCTGTACTCCATCTGCCAGTCAGGCTAACGAAAGCCCCTTCTGATGGGAGAGGATGCAGAAGTCCTTCCAGAGAAGAGAAAGACTCTGGGAGAGGGGAGAGAGCAAAAAACATGAGAGCAACAAAGGTGCAGACTCTCTCCTGGACCAGAGAAGTGTGGAGTGGGGCGCAGGGCAGAAAGTCCATTTCCTGGTTTCTTAAGAGTGGAGGATCATGAAAAAGATTAACCATAGAAAATAAATGACATTTTCTTTTCATGCCTGAGTAACAGTATGTTAAATTTGTGACTCTGCTACACAATAACCAGCTGCTAACCAGGGGGCCTAAATCAATCATGTGAAACCACAGAAAGGGAATTTTGGATGAGGGAATAGTGAAAGGAAGAACTACCAATGATTGAGCACCTACTAAGTGCTAGGCATATAGTGGGTACTTCACAGAAATTATTTAACCACCCCATGAATTCAACCCCATTTCAGAGATAAGAAAACTGAGGCTCAGAAAGGTTAAATCATTTGTCCGTGGTCACAAAGCTAGTTAGAAGTGGGACTAGGATCTGGCCAGCTCTGAGATGCATGATGTTTTTCCTCAACTATAGGAAGGGAGGGCCAGGAGCCATCAGCTGGCCCCCGTCTCCTATGGAGGGACTAGAGAGAAGACATTTGGCATGAATTATGTTGTTTTTGCAGAAATCCTTGCAAAGATGTAAATGATCAAAATACGTCATTGAAATAAAAAACTTCGTACCAAAAAGAGAATTAAAAAAACATTAATGACATCTAAAAACCAGCAAGCCTTTTAGTAAAGCAGTTGGGCTGGTAGCATGACCCATCTTACCCTATGTTCTATGTTATTCTATGTTCAGTATATAAACTAACTTGAGATTCTAGTTCTACTTAAACCATTGCTTTTAATTGAAAATCTTGTTTTGATAAATTTTTTTAAAATGGAAGTGGAAGATAGAAAAGATTATTTTGGAATTGGAAAAGAACTTAACTATTATCTACCCCAACTCCTCTATTCTGCAGATGAGGTAACAGATCCCGAGTGAGCAAGTTTTACAATTATCTCCACTTAAACTCTATCAGAGCAGGCAGCTGGTCAGCCTTATTCTCTTCTCTGTCCCAGGACTTAGCACAATGGCAGGTACAGGTTACAGAGCACCTTACAAGTTATGCAAGTGCTCAGCATAGCATTGCATCAGGCACAGTGCTCTTCTCTCTGAGCACCCATAGGGGCAGCTGGGGGTCAGGCTGCAAAGATGCTTCAAGTGAAGCCGTCTTTTAAGGGAAGCATTCATCATACCCAGTGCTCGAACATCATCAGTGGTAAGTCTGCAACTACCCAGCCTTAGGATTTTTAACTTGCTGACAAGATGCATTTGCTGGGTGATTAAATGGAGGGTTCCTCCTATGAAATCATTCCAGGAAATATCCAGTTCTTCCAAGTCTGGGAGAAAAGGCAGCAAAGCAACTAGAAGTGAACAAAAGAAAACACACATTTGCATCTGTAATTCGTGATTTGTAATAAATAGGATTCCATGCCTATATGCACAAGATACAGTTTTGCGCTGAAAGAGAATAGAGCAGGGGTAGGCATGTTGACTTTCAACAAAGCAGGGATCTCTCAGCCGTGCAATTGGGGAAATTGTGACATTTACATTTCCTATTTCTTGGGATGCTTTCTTTTTTTAAAAATTTGAGTTCATAATAGTTTACATCATTGTGAGATTTCACTTGTACATTATTTCTTGACTGTCACCACATAAGCGCTCCCCTTCACCTCCTGTGCCCAACCCCCCGCTTCCCCTGGTAACCACTCAACTGTTTCCTTTGTCCATGTGTTTGTTTATATTCCATATATGAGTGAAATCATCTGGTCTTTGTCTTTCTTAGTCTGATTTATTTCACTTAGCATAATACCCTCCAGGTCCATCCATGTTGTTGCAAATAGGATGATTTTTTCTTTTTTTATGGCTGAGTAGTATTCCATTGTATATATACCCCATCTTCTTTATCCAATCATCACTTGATGGGTGCTCGGATTGCTTCCATGTCTTGGCTATTGTGAATAGTGCTGCAGTGAACATAGGGGCACGTATGTTACTTTGGATTGTTGATTTCAAGTTGTTTGGGTAGATACCCAGTAGTGAAATAGCTGGGTCATATCATAGTTCTATTTTTAGTTTTTTGAGGAATCTCCATACTGTTTTCCATAGTGGTTGCACCAGTTTGCATTCCCACCAGTAGTGTATGAGGGTTCCCTTCTCTCCACACCCTCTCCAACATGTTATTTTTAGTCTTAGTGATTATAGCCAATTTAACAGGCATAAGGTAGTATCTTAGTGTAGTTTTGATTTGCATTTCCTTGATGATTAGTGATGTTGAACATCTTTTCATGTGTCTATTGGCCATCTGTATGTCTTCTTTGGAAAAATGTCTGTTCATATCCTCTGCCCATTTTTTGATTAGGCTGTTTGTTTTTTGTTGTTCAGTTGTGTGGGCTCCTTATATTATGGAGATGAACCCCTTATCGGATATATGATTTGCAAATATTTTCTCCCAATTGGTGGGCTGCCTTTTTGTTTTGATGCTTGTTTCTTTTGCTCTGCAGAAGCTCTTTAGTCTGATGAACTCCCACTTGTTTATTTTTTCTTTCTTTCCCTTGTCTGAGAAGACATGGTATTCAAAAAGATTCTTTTAAGTTCATTGTCAAAGAGTGTACTACCTATATTATCTTCCAGGAGTTTTATGGTTTCAGCACTTATCTTCCAGTCTTTAATCCATTTTGAGTTTATTTTTGTGTATGGTGTGAGATAATGGTCTACGTTCATTCTTTTGCATGTGGCTGTCCAGTTTTCCCAACACCACTTATTGAAGAGATTGTCTTTCTCCATTGTATGTTCTTGGCACCTTTGTCGAAGGTTAGCTGTCCGTATATGTGTGGTTTTATTTCTGGGCTTTCAGTTCTGTTCCATTGATCTGTATGCCTGTTTTTGTGCCAGTACCATGCTGTTTTGATCACTATGGCTTTGTAGTACATTTTGCAGTCAGGGATTGTGATGCCTCCAGCTTTGTTCTTTTTTCTCAGGATTTCTTTAGCAATTCAGGGTCTTTGGTTGCCCCATATGAATTTTAGGATTCTTTGTTCTATTTCCGTGAAGAATGTCATTGGAATTCTGATTGGGATTGCGTTGAATCTGTAGATTACTTTGGGTAGTATGGACATTTTAACTATGTTTATTCTTCCAATCCATGTGCATGGAATCTCTTTCCATCTCTTTATGTCATTATCTATTTCTTGCAATAATGTCCTATAGTTTTCACTGTATAAGTTTTTCACCTCCTTAGTTAAATTTATTCCTAGGTACTTTATTCTTTTTGTTGTGATTGTAAATGGAATTGTATTCTTGAGTTCTCTTTCTGTAAGTTCGTGATTAGAGTACAGAACTGCAACTAAGTTTTGTAAGTTGACTTTGTGCCCCACAACTTTACTGTAGTTGTTAATTATTTCTAATAGTTTTCCAATGGATTCTTTAGGGTTTTCTATATATAAGATCGTGTCATCTGCAAACAGTGAGAGTTTCACTTCTTCACTCCCTATTTGCATTCCTTTTATTCCTTTCTCTTGCCTAATTGCTCTGGCCAAAACCTCCAGTACTATGTTGAATAAGAGTGGTGATGGTGGGCATCCTTGTCTTGTTCCTTTTCTCAGGGGGATGGCATTCAGTTTTTCCCCATTGAGTATGATGTTGGCTGTGGGTTTGTCATATACGGCCTTTATTATGTTGAGGTAATTTCCTTCTATCTTCATTTTGTTAAGAGTTTTTTATCATAAATGGCTGTTGGATCTTGTCAAATGCCTTTTCTGCATCTGTTGAGATGATCATGTGGTTTTTATTCCTCATTTTGTTAATGTGGTGTATCATATTGATTGATTTGCGGATGTTGGACCATCCCTGTGTCCCTGGTGTAAATCCCACTTGATCATGATGTATGATCTTTTTGATGTATTGCTGTATTCGGGTTGCCAATATTTTGTTGAGGATTTTTGTCTCTATGTTCATCAGTGGTATTGGCCTGTAGTTTTCCTTTTTTGTGTTGTCCTTGTCAGGCTTTGGTATCAGAGTGATGTTGGCCTTGTAGAATGTGTTAGGAAGCATTCCATCTTCCCTAATTTTTTGGAATAGCTTGAGAAGGATAGGTATTAAATCCTCTCTGAAAGTTTGGTAGAATTCCCAGGGAAGCCATCTGGTCCTGGGCTTTTATTCTTTGGGATGCTTTTGATTACTGTTTCAATCTCTTTACTTGTAATTGGTCTATTCAGATTCTCTATTTCTTCTTGATTCAGCTTTGGGAGGTTGTAAGAGTCTAAGAATTTATCCATTTCCTCTAGATTGTCCATTTTGTTGGCATATAGTTTTTTGTAGTACTCTCTTATAATCCGTTGTATTTCTCTGGTATCCATTGTTATTTCTCCTCTTTCGTTTCCAATTTTATTTATCTGAGCTTTCTCTCTTTTTTTCTTTGTAAGTCTAGCTAGGGGTTTGTCAATTTTATTTATCTTCTCAAAGAACCAGCTCTTTGTTTCATTGATCCTTTCTACTGCCTTCTTTGTTTCCATAGCATTTATTTCTGTTCTGATTTTTATTATTTCTCTCCTTCTGTTGACTTTGGGCTTTGTTTGTTCTTTTTCTAATTCACTTGAGTGTAGTTTGAGATTGCTTATTTGGGATTTTTCTTGTTTGTCAAGGTGAGCCTGTATTGCATTGAATTTCCCTCCTAATAAACGGCTTTTGCTGCATCCCATAACAGTTGGTATGGTATGTTTTCATTTTCATTTGTCTCCAGATATTTTTTTATTTTACCTTTAATTTCTTCAATGATCCATTGCTTGTTCAATAGCATGTTGTTTAGTCTCCACATCTTTGTCCCTTTCTCAGCTTTTTTCTCATAATTAATTTCTAGCTTTACAGCATTGTGATCAGAAAAGATGCTTGTTATTATTTCAATCTTCTTAAATTTATTGAGGCTTGCCTTGTTTCCCAACATATGGTCTATCCTTGAGAATGTTCCGTGCACACTTGAGAAAAATGTGTATTCTGCTGTTTTTGCATGGAGTGTTCTATATACATCTATTAAGTCCAATTGGTCTAGCTTTTCATTTAATTCCACTGTTTCCTTGTTGATTTTCTGTCTGGATGATCTATCCATTGATGTGAGTGGAGTGTTGAGGTCCCCTACTATTATTGTGTTATTATTAATAACTTCTTTTAGGTTTGCTAATAGTTGCTTTTATGTACTTTGGTGCTCCTGTGTTGGGTGCATAGATATTTATAAGTTATTTCTTCTTGATGGAAAGTCCCTTTGATCATTATATACTGCTCCTCTTTGTCTCTCTTTACCTGTCTTATCTTGAAGTCTACTTTGTCTGATATAAGTATTGCAACACCTGCTTTCTTTTGTTTGCCATTAGCTTGCAGTATCATCTTCCATCCCTTAACTCTGAGCCTGTGTTTGTCATTGGAGCTGAGATGTGTTTCCTGGAGGCAGCATATTTTTGGGTCTTGTTCTTTAATCCATCTTACCACTCTGTGTCTTTTTATTGGAGAATTCAATACATTCACATTTAGGGTGATTATCGATATATGAGGGCTTGATGCTGCCCTTTTATCACTCATTTTCCACTTTTCTTGCATTTCCTTTGTTTCTCGTCATGTATACTTTGGTCTACCAGTCGAGTTATGTAGATTTTTATGTTGTGTTTCCTTGTTTTCTCCTTATTTATTATTTGCATCTCTGTTCTGCTTTTTTGTTTAGTGGTTACCATGAAGTTTGTATTCAAAATCTCGTGGATAAGAAAAGTCCCTTTTCTGATGGACTCTTATTTCCTTAGACCAAACCAAGTCAGTCCCTTTCCTCTTCTCCTCCTAAGTTGTTGTTCTCACATCTTATTCCATCTTGTGTTATGAGTTTGTGGTTAAAATGACAAGATTATCTTTGTTTTTTGTGTTTTCCTTCCCTTTGTCTTTAATGCTATGCTTGAGTATTTGCTATCCTGTTCTGATTCTGTCTACCTACTTATCTCCTTCCTGCATGCTTTGCAACCCCTTTCTCCCTTTTTTTTTCCAGGTATGAAGGTCTTCTTGAGGATTTCTTGTTGAGGGAGTGGGTCTCGTGGCTACGAACTCCCTTAGCTTATGTTTGTCTGGGAAAGTTTTTATTTCTCTATCATATTATGAAGGATATTTTCACTGGATAGAGTATTCTTGGCTGAAAGGTTTTGTCCTTCAAAGATGTGAATATGTCATTCCAGTCTCTCCTAGCCTGTAAGGTCCCTTCAGATAAAACCACTGAAAGCCTGATAGGGGTTCTTTTGTAGGTTATTTTCTTCTGTCTTGCTGCCCTTAGTATTCTTTCTTTGTCATTCACTTTTGCCAGTTTCACTACTATATACCTTGCAGTAAGTCTTTTTACATTGACATATTTAGGAGATCTGATAGGTTCTTCCACATGGACTTCCATCTCCTTCCCTAGATTTGGGAAGTTCTCTGCTATTATTTCTTTGAACAAGCTTCCTGCTCCATTCTCCTTCTCTTCTCTTCTTTAATACCTATAATTCTTATGTTGCATTTCCTAATTGAGTCAGCTATTTCTCAGCGACTTTCTTCACTTCTTTTTAGTCTTAGTTCTCTCTCCTCCTCTATCTGGAGCATTTCAACATGTCTATCTTCGATTATGCTGATATGCTCCTCTATGATGTCCACTTAAGTGTTCAGGGAATCCATATTTTGTTTTATTTATTCCATTGTGTCTTTCCTCTCTAATATTTCTGATTGATTCTTCTTTATAGTTTTGATCTCTTTTGTGAAGTAGCTCCTGAAGTCATTGAGTTGTTTCTCTACATCCTCTTTTAATTTGTTGAGGTTTTTGATGATAGCTATTTTGAATTCTTTGTCATTTAGATTACATATTTCTGTGTCCTCAGGATGTATTTCCGGGTACTTGTTATTTTCTCTCTGGTCTGGAGATCCGATATAATGTTTAATATTGCTAGAGGGAGTGGCTCTGTTTTTTCACATCCTGGTGTTGTTTGGTTGCAGTTATTGCCTATTGTCACTGCCAGGGGGTCAAGAGCTGCATATTCTGAGCCCTCTGCCTTCAGCGCAATCCCAGGTGCTGGGGGGGGGGGGATACTTTCTCTTTCATGCTCTCGGGTTTTCTTGGTCTGCTCTCAGTATCCGTTTTCCTGGGGTGTTGGCTTCATGAGGTCACCCCCTGCAAAATCTTTCGCCTAGGTAGAGGGCTTCCCTCTAGGCTGCAAGGGCCCTCAGGGAATCCTTGATGTTTCCATGAACAAACGTCCCCTCCCCCCGTTCCTTCCCTCTCAGAGGCCTCCTGCTGTCCAGATCAAAGTCTTTAGGGGAGGGAGGGAAGTTTCCTCTTACCCTGTTCCACCTCCTCCAAGGGATGCTCCAGCCTCTCCACCCTCCATCATACGGCTGCGTGGGTCTCTCAGGCATCTTTTGTGTTCTGCTTGGATGTCCTCTGTTGGAGTATGAATGTCCTTTTCATTGTATGTCAGAGGGGAGAGATTACTGGGAGAACTTACTCTGCTATGATGCTGATGTCACCTCCCCAGGATGTTTTCTATTTCTGCAAGTAACTGCACTCTGAAAATGCAGCAGTGTCTCCATAAGATTTCATAGGACCTCCTTTATTGCATTGGGAGTGGTCATACTACTGCTGCAACTCTACTACCACTGTCACTGTAATGCGTGTACGAGTCCTTTTATTTTGCAAACCCTCTGATGTCCATCACCCTGTCATCTTATGGATCTTCAGGCTGGAGGCCTGGGGCACACTCTGTTGGCCAGGACTGCTGAGAGTGAGGGTGCCTGTTAACTTTTCTTTTTAATCTTGATTACCCAGCTATCACCACCTTAAAAAGCTCCCATTATACTTAAAGGGACCAACATGTGGAGGTTTAGAGAGGCATAAAGCCTGATTGGAACCGTCTGAATGTCTGTCATTGCTCGTTAAAAGTGAAGTCACTCTCCATGAAAAAAGATTCTCAAAGGCCACCTTCATCTCCTGAAGCAACAAGACTTGAGAGTGGAAATGCCCAAGCAGAGGGGTAAACATCTTTGCTTGCTTGCTTTTAAACGGTGTCTTGGACGTTACAATGGTGACGGCAGTTGGAGCATGGGGAGCCTCCACAGTTACAGCTGCAGCTCCTCCAGCCTTTCCAACATCCTAAAGCCACACTTACAAGTGAAAAATTGTTTTCTTTTTACCAGCATTCAAAGCACTTAAGCAATTTCGTCTTGTTCACCATGATCCTAACTTTCTAAAGTATAAAAGTCCATTGAACACATTAAGAAGGAAAAAAACACCCAAAATTCCTGGGGCTCACTCTCAGGGATTCTGATTCAGTGGGTTTGGGGTGGACTCAAGTGTCTGCATTTCCACAAGTTCTGTGAGTGATTCTGAGACACACAGGGATTTGGGAACCACAGGCACAGTTAGGGTCCCCTTTTAAGACATGTGTCCCAAATATAGTGGCATGGATTTCAATTAAAATAGTCGAGGGACCCACACACACACACACACACACACTCAAAACAAAGCTCGTTTGGTACCTGTCTGTTGGTAAACACGTCTAATTTGATTAAAGGCTTGATTTAAGGTATCTGAGAAAAAGAGGGGGAAAAAAGGTGGTGATGGTGGCGTAAGAAAGGATTTCTTCACAACCAAACTCCTGCACAGCTTTAACAAATAGTAATTACACTTTTGTGCACAAAAGGTGTAAGCAATAATTGCTGGTATACTTTTCATTTCACAGATAACTAAACAACACAAAAGCCCTTTATATTCCCAGCAGGGCTCAATTTTATGGATGAGTTTCATGAATTCATATCATATACGAGAACAGATGTTTTTCAGGGAGCAAGAGGCAATTAGTAGGGAGGTAAAATTGCTCAGAAAAAGCAAACAAACAAACAATGCTTCCTCCTAAACTCAGCTCAAATTTTTTTTTTAGGAAGATTAGCCCTGAGCTAACTACTGCCAATCCTCCCCTTTTTGCTGAGGAAGACTGGCCCTGAGCTAACATCCATGCCCATCTTCCTCCACTTTATATGTGGGAGGCCTACCACAGTAGGGCTTTGCCAAGCGGTACCATGTCTACACCTGGGATCTGAACCGGTGAACCCCAGGCCACTGAGAAGTGGAACATGTAAACTTAGCTGCTGTGCCACTGGGTCGGACCCAGCTCAAATCTTTGAAGATTGAGGAAGGATTAATTAACTTGTTTTAAAAAAAAAAGTAGTGTCAAAAGTTGTAAACTATCATAACCTCAATAAACACTCACACACAAATAGTGGTGCAGCCACTATTCCTGAGTTGTCTGGTGCCCCCTGCAGACCTCGGGATACCAAGTGAGTAATGAGCGTGTTTTCCCTGCTCATCTTGACCTAGAGACCCCATGTTCCTCTGTGTGAAGTCAGCTGCATACAGACCCATTTCCCTCATGTCCGCTGTTGTTAATCTGCAGTTATTCAGATCGAGACACTTGTCAACAGCCTTTTTGCCCAGCTTCTGCAGGAACTGCTCATTTTTCTCCATTCTGGATCCCAAGTCCATTTCTGAGGTGAGAGGCTTAGCTGTATTACAAGAATAAAAAAGAATTTGCAGTTAATGACAGATAGTATTAAAGATGCATAACAAGCACAAGAAGACAAGTGGAATGACGGACGACAACCCTGAACTGGCCCCTTGTGAAAGCTCAAAGAGGAGGAAGAAGCTTTTACCAGGGACAAACTTCACCTCTGCTCCTGCTGCCAGGTGCTCAACACTGACCCCTCCAGGGACCCTTTTCTTACAAAGCAGCCTGAGGAGCTCAATGGCTTTTCTTTCATGGCCTGGCCTGGGCTCCTCAGGGTGTAGACGGAGTTGTGTTCCTGGCTGAAGAGGTGTACATGTTAGCACAGCATTCAAGACGAGCGCTGCTGGCTATCGTTGCACAGACATCCTTGGTGAATGCAGCTGCTGGGGGGCAGCACAGGAATTTGCCTCCTGACCAAACAGAGGAAGGAGGGGAAGCAGTGCAGTCATGCCCGCGAGCTTGAGATGGCTACAGGCAGCGGGTGGAGCACTTGAGGCCCATTTCTTAGAGCATTCAGGTGACAAATCCAGCGAGAGCAGTGCGAGGAAGAGCTTTTGCATTTCCTCAACTCTTGCCAAAGAATACATTCAGAAAGCCTCATTTGCCCTGCTTTTTATTAGGGACCACTGACACGGCACCCTCACCAAGTTCCTCTGTAATAACGCTACATTAGCATGACATCACTATAAGAACAAAAGCTATAATTTTCTCCTTTTTTGGAGGAAGACTGGCCCCGAGCTAACATCCGTGCCCATCTTCCTCTGCTTTATATGTGGGACGCCTACCACAGCATGGCGTGCCAACGGTGCGTAGGTCCACACCCAGGATCCAAACTGGAGAACCCCAGCCGCCAAAGCAGAGCACAAACTTAACAGCTCTGCCACTGGTCGGCCCCAGCTATAACTTTCTTGAGCACCTGTTATGCACAAGCGCCTCACCTCCTTCATGTGCCAGCATTTATATCACATATGAAACACATTATCCCGCGGTAAGGAAAAATGAATGTGCATGTGCTGATAGTGACTTTGTAGAGGGTCTGTAAGTGAAAACGTACAATTTAAAACACATACAAAGAGTATAGTTCTGAATGTGCAGTGATTAATCCACTAACCCTGACCCAAAAATGTAAAACGACGTAGCTAAAAAGAAATATATTGGTAGTCGTGAAAATTAAAAGATAGTAGGATTACAGTAGTAATAAATCTAGACCAAAATATTAGCAGGATAATAAAAACTCCACCTCTCCTCCACAGCGTGTACTGTCCGCCTGCAGAGTGTACATCTTTGCAGGGGTGGTTGGTGTTGCCACATTCCACCAGTAGGAGGCAGCAGCATCCACCATTTGACCTGTTCCTCCGGCCTTCCATTCTCATCACGGCACACTGGACACAAGGTATTTTATTTTGGGGAGGGTTGCCAGATTTAGGAAAAACAAAAACAGCACGTCCAATTAAATTTAAGCTTCAGCTAATCAAGGAATCATTGTTTAGTAAAAGTATATCCCAAATAGGGCATGTATTTCATCTGGCAACCCTCATTTGAGTGGAGCAGACGAGAGTAGGGATGGGGGACGGGGAGGGGCTGCCTCTCACATGCCAGAGAGTACAGGACATTTTGCGTAAACGCAATGCGAGGAGTCACAATTACACTATTTCATAAATTTGGAAACTGAGACTCAGAGAGACTCTTAATCAGTGAGTAGCAGAACCAGAATTTGAACCCAGAACAGTTTGTACCAAAGCCCATTAAGTGTGGGTGTTGTTTAAAATTTTTGTGTTTCAAAACACTTCTCTGCATGTTATCTTATTGCTTTCTCTCTTTTGTTTTTAAGCTTTTTATCTCTATGGGCTCAACCTACAATCATGCTCATGTTCCAGCCCCACCACACCTTCTTTTTCTTTGTTTTCTCCTCAAGTCACTGTTCTGTCAATAACTTCCTTCACTGTCAAATGTTTGGAAAGATGGTTTGTACTTGCTGGCCCCGCTTCTTCACCGCATTTACCAATACTCTGCATTCTGGCTGCCACACTCACCTATCCAAATAAATTGTTTCTCAAAGGTCACCAACAATGCCCTAGCAACTGACCCACTCAGAAATCTCTTCTCAGACCACATCCTACTTGGTTGCTCTGTAATGTCTGATATGATTGGCAAGTCCAGGACAGCACAACGGGAGACCTGGTTCAAATCGTGGGTCCATCGGGTGAGCAAGTCACTGAACTTCTCTGAGCCTTGGTTTACTCATGTGCGAAATGGAGACTATAATTCCTGCCTGATTCATTTCTCAGGAGTGTAGTGACTTAAATTTACTGGGGCCTCCCAGGGAGATGGGACTCTGCATTGCCTTATACATGAGAGGTACTTTGTAAATATTTGTGGAATGAACAAATAATTGAGTGAATAAATCACTGAAAGAGTGAATGAATATTAGCTTTACAGTTCCTTCCTCAACTACCAAAATAAATCAACATCATGAACCTTTGTCAAAACACCTAAGTATAAATGTGAGTACCAACTACACATCTCCTTACAGACTGTGCGTGTGTGTATATATATACATTTTTTTTCTTTTAATCTATGAAACTCTTTCTTCAAAAGATATCTTATGTCACTAAATATATAAAACAGATGAGGCAGAGCTGTTACAGGCCAGCTGAGGTGGGAGGGCCGGTGCTCAGCGGAGGGTACAAGGTGATCACACATGAGCAGTTCTGTGGGGTAATTCGGGGCCTTTTCCTGGCTGCTTTACCGCTGAACCAAGCTCTTCTTCTCCGGATGATTCTGGGAGCTAAGCAGTATCTTCTCATTAAGTTTTCTTCCAACTTAAACATGTAAGGTTGGTTTCTGCTGTTTATGACCAAGAATCTCAGTGCTTTCATAAAACATTATTACATGCCTGTAACATGCGTGCTGCTGTACAGGGAACCAAGACAACAAGTTCCTGTTTTCAAGGAGCTACCTGTCTTATGAAGGAGACAGACAAGAAAGGCACAGTCACCATACAGAGGAGATGTGCAATGGTGGAGGCATGCACCAGTGCACGGAAGCACAGGCAGGCGACAGTAAGCACCTCAGGTCCAGTGGGTGGGTCTTGGCAAGCTTCCAAGAGAAAGCGGGGCATGAATTGCACCTCAAAGGGTGAGTGGGAGTCAGCCAGGTAGGTGGATGTGAGGGAGGGATAAACCGGGAAGGGGAGCTCTTCCCGGGCAGAGGGAACCACTTGGGGAAACGTGGCCAGTTCAGGAAACTGCAAGTAAATCAGAAGGTCAGGAGCAAACAATGAACGTGAGGTTGGAGGAATGCAGAGGTCACGAAGAGGCAGCCAACTGAATGCCAGCACCTTGAAGACCGAGCTTGGGAGTGTAGTCTTTCTCTTTAAGGCAAGAAAGACTCAGTGAAGGATGTCAAGCAGGTGAGAGACGCCATCATATCTGTGCTTTAGAAAGACTTCCCGTAGCGGTGTGGAGGACAGGTTGGCTAAAGAGCAAGACAAGAAGCAGAGAAACCAGTTGGGGAGCTGGTGCAGTGGTCCGGGCAAAGGCAGTGAGAGCAGAACAGCAGCGGAGAGGAGGAACCAGAATTAATGTGACTCCAGGAGCCACAGAATTTTGGGAGAAATGGAAATAGAGAAGCCATGCACAGCTTGAGTGGCTGGTGCTGCCCAGCCAGCATAACCCGCTGCCTGGGCGGGCACTGTTACTTTAATCATGGTTCTGGGTATTCATTAACCACGTGCCTGAAGCTCCAAATCCTACTCTGGACCAGAAAACAACAATTTTCTGATAGAGATTTTCTTTTAAAGGTAGACTTTAGCTTTCTATTTCCTAAAATATATTTAATCTCCTTACAGGTAAAATGACATTATTTTCGGTATTTGATGGAAATAATCTGATGGAAATGAGGGTGGGTATAAATGAAACAAGATTGGCCCTGGGTTGATAATGTTCGAGGGGGGTGATCATGGGGACTCCTCATGCTGTTCTCTCTACTGTTGCATATGTTTGCATAGAAAGTTTAACATGTTTTAAAAATATATTTAAGCTAACAGAAAATATATTGATGGCATTGTGCATGACATAACTAGAGATTTGGCAATATTTATTTTCGTAATCCTTGGATTTGTAATCTCTGTTCTAGGAATTTATACTAAAAAACAGGTGAATTACAGTAAGCAGGAAATAGGGGGGAGGGAAAGATGGTCACGAAGGGCAAGAAGGAGCTAAAGTACTTATGGCAGATGCGTGCAATGGATTATTTCGCAGCTGATAAAATTAGGAATACAAACATCATGTAGCAACGTGGGAACTGAACAGTATAATAATTCGTTCCAGGAGTAGGATCACAGCTCCATGTAAGCTCAAGAGGGATTTGTAAGCTGTAATAACTGTGCAAAAGATGCCCATTCTGGCCCCAGCTGCCTCTCTGGCTTGTTTCCTACTACCCTGGTCCTCTCCCCATCTCTCATCCTGCTCCAGCATCCCTGACCTCCGGGCTGGCTCTCAGGCACTCCATGCTCAGTGCTACCCTGGGCCTTTGCATTTTCAGTTCCCTTTGCCTGGAAAGCTATGCCCACAGATATCTATGTGGCTGGTTTCATTCACTCTCCACGGCTGACTTTATTCAGATCTCTGCTCAAATGCCAACAAATCAGACTCCTTTCCTCCAACACCATCTAAAAGAGCACCCCTTCCCGTCACCCTCCATCTCCTCAGCCTGCTTTATTTTCCTTCATGTCACTCATCACACTGAAATTATGTCTGCATTTGGTTCTTTGTGTACTAGAGGTCCTGTTTTTCATGGCTATATTTTTAACACAGCAGTGGCTGGGACATAGTAGCTACTCAATTAATGTTTCTTGACTGACTGACTGATCATAAATGCATGCATACGAACAAAAGATTGAAAAGAAGCTGAAAGAAATGGGCATTCATGTTAGAATGAAAGGAAATAAGATATTTTCTCTAAACCTTTCTGTAGTGGTATACTACTTTTGATAATTCAAAAGTAAAATTAGTGAACTATTTAAAGCATTTATGTAATATAATAAATGTTTAGAACAGAGACTCATATTAGGTTTGGTTTAACCCATATGATCTCTTTAGGGGAAAACATTATTCTAAAAAACAAAGAAATAGCAGTCAGGAGTTTACCAGTGTCTAAGGCGGCTGTCTTCTGTGTCTCGTCGCTGGGCTGGAAATCAGCTGTTGTAGGGTCATTGTTCTCTTTCCTGCTGTCAGCTTTGGAGGACCCGAGGTTTGAGCCCCTGAGGAATCTGTTGACAAATGAAGTCTCGGATTTACTTTCTCCATCTGAGGGAGTTTTCTTGCTTGTCTGACTCATGGTCAAGTTGAGGGGGTGTTTCTCAATAGGACATCTTCCTGTTGTTTTTTGCTCTCTAGGATTTCTGAGAAGAAAGTAAGACTCTGTCAGGCCCGTGTGAAATCAGAACTTCCCTATGTGAGTTTTTATTTCCCCCTTTTCTTTGTGTTTTTATTACTGGTAATGTTTAACGTAAAAATAAGAACGATGTAACCGAGGATCCGGGAACCAACAGATGGTGGCAGATAGAGATCTAAAGCAAATTTGAGTTTTTAACTTTGCCCTATTTTATTGCATGAGATACAAGTCATTAAACACCACTTTGGCAAATGCATCGGATGTGCCAATACATTTTAAATTTCAGCCATGAGAGTTACCTTCTAAGAGACGGTAGTAAAAGAGGGTTTAGCACGTTCTCTAAGCTGTCTGGCCCTTTGCAAAACTGTCACCCAGAGGAGTTTGCCTTCAGTGACCCCAGCCTCCTCTCTTTGCACACTGCTTCCTTTTCTCCAGGCATTTTCACTTTCTCTACTCCAGCCTTGCACCCCCCTGCAACCCTCTCCCCCACCATTGAAAACACATTGGCGATCAAGATTTCATTCACTCCAGAAACAGAACATACTGTGGGCAGATGCAAGAGATTCCATGATGAACAAGACACAGCTCATATCTCTGATGGAGTCTTAACCTGGTGGGAAGATGGACCTGTATGCCAGTGACGACATGGGGATAAGGGCTGTCAGCAAGGAGAGACCCAAGTAGTCAGGGAACACACGGTTGGACTAAGGCTGCCTGGAGAACAGACTTTGAGCAGTGACTGACATTGTCTGGGTTTTGAAGAACTGGGAGTTAGCTAAAAGGAGAAGAGAAGGGAAAGTGTTCCAGGCAGAAAAAACAGGCTCAAAAGCTCCCAGGCATGAAGAACTAAAAGAGCCTGGGTTTGGCTCCAGGAGTGAATTCTGGTTTGCCCGGAGCAAGGGGTGTGGGGGACAGAGGTTGGGGGCGTGGTCTGGTCTGATTCCTAAGGGTCAATCTGTTATCCCTCCTGGGATTTGCTTACCTTTTAAGGGAGAGTTAAAGACTTAAACTAAAGGGATAAAAGTGTAATGGAATTTTAGATTCTGTTAACAAAATTTAGATCCCGTCTTTGGGCCAGGGCTTAATAGGTATTCTTGAAATTACAATGTTCATGGCTTCCTCCCTATAAAATAGGTCTTTCTGTAACGCTATGTTGCAGAATGGCTGAGAAACATTTGCACAGGGGCTCCTGAAAATGACCTTGCAGAGCGGCCTCCACCCCTGCGGAGAAACTTCCATACACCTGGAGTACTATTTTAGAAGTCACAATTGGGCATCCTTTTCTTTTTCTTTCTTTTTTTAATATCCTTTTCAAATTAGAGCAGAGTCCAGCCCAGGTTTACCCAAGAATAGACAGCAATGGAACCAGACAGTTGTCCCAGGCCACAGCCCCACAGCGGACCGAGCCTCAGTGGGTTAGATGGGAAAGAAAGAAAGACCATTAGTTCATGAATCCAGCCACAACCTGCAGGCCTGTCTGCCCCACCTGGATTCCACCTTCACCCCGTGGGCTCTTTTCCTTTCACTGGTTTTCTGGTCCCCACCCAAGACTTACCTCCATGGCCATTTTCAGTCAAATTCACCTTTTGCAGATTTATACAGAAACATTCTCTGGAAAGCCATCTCAGTAAATGGTTTCACTTTTTTCCCCTCTAATGCGCTGACTCCAGCTTCCAGGTCTTAAGAAAACACTGCTGGATGGAGCTCCAGGATGTGGTGATTTACCCAAGTGAACCCCACCCAGCTTGGGAGGCTGCTGAGTTTTCTGTGCAGAGGAATCCACTGCGAGCAGAAGGGGAAGGGCCAGGGAACCAGGGACGGCAGGAAACAATACAGGCCCCAAGAAACAGAACAGAAAAGAAAAGAACTGTGGCAGAACCAGGGAGGGCAGGAAGGAAAGAAACGCAAGAGGAGCAAAGAGCCGGGAGGCTCCCAGGGACTCCGAAAAGGAGCAGCCGTGTGAGTGTGAAGGGCCAAGCAGCTGCATATGTCTTAATACACAGGAGTCTAATGCTCTCGCTGGGAAAATATGTATATATATTTTTTTATGTGTTTCGGCAATTCCTCTTTATATACAAACTCTAACAAGTGCCCAGGCTTCCCGTGCCAGTTCAAGCTCTAACACGGCTCACACAAAATTTCCGTTTGCCCCGTGTCTCTGCACTCGGTTTTGCTCTGTGACAGTCAACCCTAGAAACTGACTTTGAGGAAATCTGCAGATCACAACAGAACGACCAGGCGACAGCAGCTAAACGCTGGGCTTTGTCAGTCCTTCCAGGCTCAGAGGCACTAAGAGCCCTTTGGGAAAACTAAGGGCTGGCATTTCAATTCCACTTAACAATGCTAGTTAAGCAGTTACTTCTGATAGTTACCACATTATCTGTGGGTGAGGTTATTTGCCGTGAAACCACAAGGATAATATATATTTGATATCGTATTTCCCTTGTATTTATTTATTTTTGCAAAAGTGAGGAATACCCTTCCTTTCTTTTCTGTCCTTAGGTTTGGGTTTAACATATATTTAAAATTTTTGAGGAATGCTTTCAACAGCGTTAAAGTTTTTGATCCAGCGTTTCAGAGCGAATATATTTCCAGCGTTGCTTATTGAAGGGAGATGCACTTTCCTTTCTCCACAAAACTTACTTCCTTAAAAAGGAAGGAAATTCTGACACATGCTACAACATGAATAAACCTTGAGGACATGACGCTGAGTGAAATAAGCCAGTCACAAAAGACGAATACTGCAGGACTCCACCGACAGGAGGTATCTAAAGTAGTCAAACTGACAGAAACAGAAAGGAGCGTGGTGGGGAGCGTGGTGGGGGCCGGGGTGGGGGCCGGGGCGGGGGCGGGGCCGGGGACGGGGCGGGGCGGGGGCGGGGGGAGAGGAGCTGAGGTTCAATGGGGACAGAGTTTCAGTTTTGCAAAATGAAAAAGTTCTGGAGATCTGTTGCACAGCAACGTGAGTATATTTAACACTCTTGTACTGTACACCTAAAAATGATGGATGGTAAATTTTATGTCATGTGAGAGTTTTTTTTTACCACAATTGAAACTAAAGAATATATATATTAAAAAATGTGATCCGGAGGGGCTGGCCCCGTGGCTGAGTGGTTGGGTTCGCGCGCTCCGCTGCAGGCGGCCCACTGTTTCGTTGGTTCGAGTCCTGGGCGCGGACATGGCGCTGCTCATCGGACCAGGCTGGGGTGGCGTCCCACATGCCACAACTGGAACCCACAACGAAGAATACACAACTATGTACCGGGGGGCTTTGGGGAGAAAAAGGAAAAAAATAAAATCTTTAAAAAAAAAAAATGTGATCCGGAGGACTAGGACTCTAAATGTAAAGAAGTTGTAGGAAGAATACCTTAATCAATTTCTGTTTCTACTTTCCTTCTTATGTATATACAAGTATGATATTATTTTTTAAAATCCTTGCCTAAATATGTCTGAATAGGTTAATAAGTATAAAGTAAAAACCTTAGGTAATTTTTAAAACCTTACCTCAGTCACTCAGTTCTAAAGTAACCGGGTGGCAGGCAGTGTCTTGAGTTATGCGTCTGATGGGCTTAATTCAGCCCTATTCAAAACTCTTGTCTTGAAAATGCATTACTGTAGATATATTTCTAGCATTTTAGTTGATACTACTATTCTCCGTTAATTTAAGCAGAAAAGGAATTTATCAAAAGGATGACAGAACTTCTATTAAAAAGCATGGTAGAGGTAAACATGTGTTTATCTCCACTCCTTTTGAACTTCATTTAAACAAGAATTAAGGGATTTTTTTAAAAAAGCACTTCATAAATCTATAAAGATCAAGAGAACTGGATAGATGCCAACAAAATTTTGGAATCTGGAGAGCATGAGGATGAGTTTGACTGACTTCACAGTTGACTACCTGCAAGGGTTGGGGGACAAATTTTTCCAATATCAGAATCCCAAAAGGCTCAGTAAGTGAACCAGTAACGGTACCAGCTGACTGTGAAGGAAGAGAGGGGTATAGTGCACGGGGGGCTGAAAACAGGATGATTAGTTAAAAATTTGTAAGAAGTTAAACCATTAAATTAGTTTTTAGATCAAATCTTGAAATCATTCTAAATTTAATTTACTCCCTCACTTCTTTCTTTCCTTCTTTCCTTTCTCTGTCTCTCCTTTTCTCTCCCCATCTCCTTCCTTCTTCTGTTGCTTCTTCTCCTCTTTCCCATTTCTTTCATTTTTCGTTGTCATAGATTTGAAGTCCTTACTTAAATAGGTCTTTGGATTCCCTGGAGAACCCAGGGCAGGCTGGAGACTGTCTCTTCCCCATCCTGGCAAAAGATAGAAAGTTTATTTGGGGACAGGTTGAAACATAAGGATCTAGACTCAGAGACACTGGTTATGTCTTGAGTACCTTATTGGAAAGGGAGGTTCAGTAAAGTCTTGAATTTATCTGAAGATGAAACATAATTGCAAAAACATCAGAGTAAAATAAGAACTGACGGTAAATAATAAACATTTTAAAATTGCAATTAACAAAGACACTTGACCATTTTTGTGACATAGAATACTTTAAACTAACCAGAATTATGACTGATACCCAGGACAGATCAGAATTTTAGTAACATTATACAATTTTTCTTTTTTTTTTAGGAAGATTAGCCCTGAGCTAACTGCTGCCAATCCTCCTCTTTTTGCTGAGGAAGACTGGCCCTAAGCTAACATCCATGCCCATTTTCTCTACCCTGCCACAGCATGGGTTTTGAACTCTGGGCCACAGAGAAGCGGAACGTGCGAACTTAACTGCTGCGCCACTGGGCCGGACCCTAACATTATACAATTTTTAAAACATTTATATCAATGACATTTACCCATATAATATCATAGATCCTGATGAAACAATGTTTATTTATCCCTTTAACCATGATGACAGTTAAAGAATTTTAGGAAAATGCAGAGAATTAAATAGTTGTAAGAAAAACCTTAGCATCTGTGATTAAGGACCTGATAAAAACAATGTAGGAAATTTATTTTGCTAAAACATAAAACCCTTATCCTTCTGGTAGACTACTCAAAGAAAAAAACCTTTTGTAATCTTTTTTTATCAAGGGTAGACTAAAAGTTTAGGAAAATTATCTTTTTATGAAAGAGGAAACCAAGTTTTAATTTTGTAACAGTTTACTTTTGACATTAAAACTTATTTACTTAAGTAAATTTATTTTAATCTCAGTCAACTTGACCATACATAAAACTCATCAGGGGTTTACTTTTATAAACTTTTTGTCACTTGTTTTTTACATTTAGAATTTGTCCCAGGTTTTGTTTTTTCCCTTTTAGTACTTTAGGACAAATTTATTTATTTATTTATTTATTTATTTTTTAACAAAACAAGTAAAAAAATTTTTTAGACCTTTTTACTTAAAACATATACTTTATTTTCCTTGTATACAAAGACATTTCATTATTAATTTTTAGTAGCTTTGATTACTTGTGTTAATTAGAATCTTTAACCCTTAGAAACCTTAATTTCTAAGTAAAAACCAAGTAAGCAATTGTAAACCCTTCCTTACATGAGCATTCTGTGGATTGACAAATTTTCAAATACCTTCTATAATTTTTAGAAACATGTTACTTTATAGTAATAAAACACAAGATGTGTTTATTAACAGACCCAAACACCTTTTAGTTTCTCTGTAATAAGCCAAAAGTAAATAAACTTAGACATGTTAAGCAATAATGTTTCAGTGTTTCATCCTATCCAAAAATGACCTAGATACTCAACAGATTTTGTTACTTAGCTTAACTTAGTAAAACTCTAAAGTTTAAAGTTACCAAAAAGATTTTGGAAGCTGTTTTTTAAGTATACAAACCATAAAACACAATTACTGTACTTAAAAACTTTTGCCCATTTTTATTTACCTAAATTATTTGTTCCCAAGAATTAGGTTTAGATTACTCACAAAAACTTCATGACATTAAATCACTTAGCCATTATCTTAAGTTGTTTTAAGTACATACATCATAACACATAATTATTGTTAAAAAATTTCTCCTCAAACATTTATCCTTTTACATTTAATTAGTTTACCTGTTCTCAACAGTTATATTTATATCGTCTATAAAAACCTCATGAGACATTAAATAAAATCAGCTATTATACTGAGTTATTAGTTTTGCTAATAAATTTTGTAACAGAGATAATATGAGCTCATTTGACCAGTAAACCCAGGCTGTTTGTCTGCATCATATCCAATGCTGATAATTCAGAGGACATGTCTGTTTTAAATCAAACCAGTAAACTTAAACAGGCTTTTATTTACCAAAGATCATTTTATATCATGTTAAATAACTTTGTCTTTTAGAAGCTTTTGTATATTAATCAAAGACTGCATTCTGAGAGATTTTGAATCCTCTCTTTTAAGGCTAACCCCTAAGGTGGACTCTTCTGAAACAGAGGCTCCCCGCAATGGCCATTACAATTCCAAATTGTCTCAAAGGTTTACTTATTTTCACTTGTTTAATTTTAGATCAGGAGTTTCGGGGGAGCTGAAGTGGTGCATCTCAACGAGAGAAGCAGCAGATTTGGCTTCGGCTGCTGGCATGTTTAATTATTTAATTGTTTTCTCTTAAAGAGGTACTAAAGTATTTCCGATTTTATTTAGAAGGCTCAAAAGATTAAAACAGGCTTCCTGTTGTTGTAGCTGGCTTTTTCCAATTCCATGTGTAAATACACCAGTTTGGGTAAACTAAAATTGCCCCATTTAAATATACCAATTTTTAAAAACCTTTATCTTAATTTTTCCAACTCTTATACTCCTAATTATAACTTATATTAGAATTCCATTAACAGGTTTTGGCATTACAATGTTGTGTAGAGGAAGCATTCCCAGTTAGACATAACATTATTCCCCCCAAAAATACAAGCAAAATTGATGTAACCTCTTCACATGATATTAGCTTAAAACACTTGAATCTTTATAGTTTTATTAACCCGACAGCCTAACTGTTGCCCCAAACAATTGCTAGTCAGGTTTCTCACTGTGATTTTTGCCTCCTGATTTTTAAAAATTTTTTCAAATAGATGAATAGAACAGGTTTGTCTGATGTCCTTTAATGTTGAGGGGCCAATAAAGAGCTCCCTTTAGCCCATTTAACCTTAGGCAGTGTTTTATTAAAACCTTTGTTTTAACTTGTGTCTGTTCTATTCATCCTATTTTCCTTTTTAATAACTAGTTAAAGATTTTCATCCCATTGGGATGAGTCCTGTGACTCTTCTCTTTCTGATTTCTCTTTGTTAACTTAATGTTTTCATTAGCATCTGTAAAACCACAAGAAGAAGCTGAGACCCCAAGTTCGATTAAGTTTTTTAAGACTAGTCATTGTATTTTCCTTTGAATTTGGTCTTTTCATAGGTACCAATAAAACAGCTGTTTATGACAAGAGCTCTCTAAAAATTTTCTAACTTAAGGATTTATTATTTGGCCATTTTTTCCTCTGGAGTTTAAAGAATATTGTGGCCATGCAGTGTTACAAAATAAAATTATCCATTTTAGACATTGGCTTATAACTATAATTAGACCATCTACTCAGAATCAACCCCAATGGGCTCTGCTTGGGGACAGACAGCATGTTTCCCATTCTGATACACAGAGACAGACAGACACACAGACCCAGACACAGAAAAACCAGACACCAGTGAACCGGTTCCCAGATTGAGGGTAGAAAGTCCTACAACTATTCCCACTCCAAATGTGCACCCAGATGGCCCCTCTGTGAACAGAAAGGACCCAAGATGGCCCCTCCATGAATGGAAGGGACCCCAGAGGAGGG